CCGATCATGTCTAAAATCGGGTACAGTAACATGAAAACAGCATTGAAGAGATTTACCGCGTGGAAAACACGTGTCAGATACACTCGGATGTACATAACATTATCTTTCATGGCACAGTATAATCCCAAGGAATTTCCGATTATGCCTAGTGTTAGTATGATAGGGGCCAAATATTGGAAAAACTGCCTAACGACTCTAGTTTTGTATTTTAAATTCTCATTATAATGGGTACAATTAAGACCCGAACTGTTCAGCATCTGAATCTCGAAACTCTTCTGGGTATCCACCAAATCTTCCAAGTTAAATAATCGAGTCATTTAAATTTTTTATATCTATGGGTTTTAGATATATATATATATCTTTATATAAGGATTACGGAAAGAAAAACATTTTTAGATATTCAAAATTAATTTTTTTTATTTTAAAAAAAAAAATTTAGTAAAATTATGATTGATATATAAAAATATTAAAAAAAATCACCATTCCAACTGTTTTAAAAATATTTTACAAAATCAATAAAATAAAAAATTAAAATTTTTTAAAAACATATATCATATTTATCAATTAGAGAAGAGATAAAAGCTTTTATTTTTTGCTTTATTTAAGAGAAAAATCAAATTAATGTATTCTCACAATGGGGCAGATTTGTAGAAAATTGAAAATATAAATTAAATTTTTTTATTATTATTATTTCCGTTTAAACTCTCCATTTCCCTTTAAATTGATATTTAAGATATGTAAGATATTAATTGTAAACATATAAATTAACACTTTTTAAGATACACAAAAGAGAAATTAATTACACGGAGTTCAATAGTTAATTAGCTAAATTAAAGAATGCAATATCTTGAAATATGCGGTATCCGAAGGATAATAAAAAAAAATAAGAATTTCAAGAATTTTTATATTATTCAGTAAAGTTGACTTACAGAACCAGGATAGTCTTGCTATAATATAAATCAATCTAGTTAAGTGCTACAGTGATCGCTTATTTATCATTTTTAACCTATGGATGGCACATAAAAATTTTACAAAAATAGGAAAAAAAATAGGTAATTCTCTAAGGGGGTTCTCCAGTTTTCAAGAGACTTGAAACCTCGTGAACCTAAGAATGCTACAGTGTATATTTATTTATAATAACATCTTTAGAAAGTTTAAAAGGGAAGACAGTCGATGATTTGCAATTAGAGACTCGGGAGAAATAGAATTTATTTTGGTCCGATCCTGCAGGAAATATTTATTTTAGTTTCCATATTTTAATGTTATATATGTCGTATTGGGATATGGAATCATGTGGGATTCGGACTTGAATCCCCACGTTTTATTCAGGATCTTTTTTTAAAAATATTTAAAAAATATTCCGAATCCTCATGAATAAAAAATAAAATAATATAATTACTTTTTCTTCTCTTTTTTTGCGGCTGACCATATAATTAAAAGGCCAAAATAAGGGATTTAAAAAGAGAATTTTAAAAAAAAGTAAATAGTATAAAATTAAGGCATATAATGAATGAAAAGGGATGAGGTTAAGACTTTTTTGTTTTAAAATATTAAAAAATATATTTATAAAAAATCCGAATTATTGCAACAATTATTCAATGCAATATAGCATTTCATTGAACATTTAAGCAGGGACCCGAACATTTATAACGGTTCAGTTTGGTTACGGTTCAGTATATAAAAAAATATAATGGTTTATTTTTCTGGATGTAATATTGAGTTAGCCGTTTTTAAAAATCAATTATGAATAAGGAGAAATACTATGTATCTTTAGGTTGAGCCAAATAAGGTCAGACTCATTTAGAGATTGTTAAAACTAAATTATTTACGAACAAATTTTAAGTTGAGATTATCAAAATGTTTTTTAAAAAAAAAGGCTAAGGACCAATATATATTTTTATTTAGTAATTTTATATATTTTTACATATTTTTATATAGTTTTAATATTTTAGTGTTTTATCATTTTTTTTAAATTATACCAATATCAATATTATCAAAATAAAATTTTAAAAAATAAATCAAATAACAATTGCAATATTTTGAAGTTTTGGAAGCAGGAAAATTTATTTCCTTTTTTGAGAAAATTAGAGAGTAAAATATTTTCAGCCCTGGAAAATTCGGCTTCTAGTGAAAGGTTATTTTCTGTAGCCAATCGCCTATTAGAGGAAAGGCGTACACAATTGAAATAAAAAAAAATAGACATTCTTCTTTTTCTAAGTAAAAATTTGGATTTATAAAATGTATTTATTTTTTGTTATTATGGATTATGGAATTAAAGAAATAAATAGAATAAATTCAAAAAAGTGTAAAAAATTTTAGCATTAAAGTTTTGAAAAATTTAAAAACATCGTGAATTTTCGGGCGTGAATCAAAATATTGCCTTAGAGTATTTAATGATTTAAAGCATAAAAGTTATACATCGGCAAAAAAATATAATTTAATTGTTTTTTTAATAAAAAGATTCCGAATCCCCTTAAAACCTTAACCAAACTGATATAATTATTTTTTGAAGGAGTAAATAAAAAGAACCTTTATAAAAAACGGTTAAACCGGTTCAGTTTTTATATTTTAGAAATGGAAATAATTAATATCCAGAATTATATAAACGTGCTCTTATAGTACTGGCGGTTCCAGCAACACAAGTTTCTGTAGAAAGGGCTTTTTGTGTTATCGTCACAACGAAAAAAAAGGAATACATTTATACTTAAAAATATATTACTTATAAGTTGAAATAATATATTTAAAAATGAGTTATTTTGAATCTTATATATTTTTTATATATATAATTCATAGGTGCTTATAATAAAAATAAATTAGAAGATGGTGTTGCTTCAATTAAAAAAAAATTTCTAACAGTAATGAACCTTTATAAACCTTTATAATTAGCTGAACCGAACGGAACCTTTATATAAATTTCTTCTCAAGAACCGTAACCAAAACGTAACCACTATAATTTTTTATATACTGAACCGTACCGTAACCAAACTGAACCGTTATAAATAACGGTTCGGGTCCCTGCTTAAATGTTCAACGAAATGCCATATTGCGAATAATTGTAGCAATAATTTGGATTTTTTATAAATATATTTTTTAAAACAAAAAAGTCTTAACCTCATCCCTTTTCATTCATTATATTTCTTAATTTTATACTATTTACTTTTTTTTTAAATTCTCTTATTAAATCCCTTATTTTGGCATTTTAATTATATGGTGCCAGCTGCAAATAAGAGAATATTTTTTAAAACAAAAATATCTTAACCTCATCCCTTATCATTTATTATATGCCATAATTTTATACTATTTACTTTTTTTTAAAATTCTCTTTTTAAATCCCTTATTTTGGCCTTTTAATTATATGGTGCCAGCCGCAAAAAAGAGAAGAAAAAGTAAATATATTTTTTTTTTCATGGGAATTCGGAATATTTTTTAAATATTTTAAAAAAAATATGGATTCAAAAATCTTTAATCTCCACGTTGGGATTCAATATCCCACATGATTCCATATCCCAATACGACATTTATATATGTCACAAGGTTGTTTTTTTTTAAAAAATAATAAAAAATTCCATAATTATGATTGGTAGCCAAAATTAGGATAAAAAATTGATTTTTTTTAACTTTGCAAAGTTAGTCTTTATTTTTCCTTTTTCATAATCAGGTGAATCGTTTAATCAGAATCAAGAATAACATTTTTACCCAGGTTGCTTAAAACGAACTTAAATATCTAAAGCATAATAAAATATGACTAATAAATTCATTAAGTATTAAAATGAGAAGTTACCCTTAGTAAATGACATAATAAAATATCAAAAGCATCTAATCAAGAGCCATGAATATTTAGTTAGGAATGGAGTAATAGTTTATTTGGAGATTCCTAATATTTCTTTTGAGATTAAACAAATATTCAAATACTCATATAAATATAAATATATTAGATATTTTTTGAAAATAGATAATGTAAATAATCACTAACATTCAAAATATTTATAAAATAATAATTTTTATTTTTTAACACAAATGTATTAAAACCATATTTTGTATTATTTATTTTTCATACGCCCATTAGCTTATTTTGTTTATTTTTTATTGGTTCCCTTGTGGCATATAAAGCCCTCTTTAAATAAATGCTGCTGAATAGCATTTTTATAAGTCAATGATACGTTTTTCAAATATAATATTAATAATATGTTCAAAATCTTCTACCTCTTACCGATACTTCACCGCTAATAATCCATAGTGATTCTCATTTATATCTAAATTTCTATTTGTGTGAGCACCGTACCTCCTCTACATGGTTAAAAGACTAAAAGTACTTTTTCATAAAATTTAACTTTTTCCGATTATATTGGAAATAAAGTGTACGTACTGACATTCATGTAAATGATTAAATTATCAGTCTTGTATCTCATTGGTAACTGACCTGATAACTATTTTCACTTGGAACTATCTCATATATATTTTTCCAACGAGATCTTAATCCGTCAACAAAACGGGCATGATTAACAATAACAAAATTGAATAATAATTGACATCTGATGAAGTATACACGTTTTACAATGCAGCTTCTTGCCCTGATTGAAATCTAATTAAAACTTAAGTAATATCATGAAGTAAATCTGTTAAGAAAATGCAGCCATACTATTCGGTAAATTTTAAAATAGTCATATATGTAAGAGGAATCATGCGAAAATCTTATAATTTAATTTTTGATGGAACAAAATGTGTTATTAATATTAGTTAGGAAAGATAAGGATGAACGTTGTAAATTATAAATCAATAAAAATTTCCCTAAATCATAAACAATTATCAATACAATTTTCGAAACTGAATTTCATTATTTTATCAACAAATAAAAAAATTAGTGCATTCTCTAATTTTTATAATTCAAATATATTATTTAATATTGAATATTTAATATTCATAAAATAATTTATTTACAATATTATAAATATTTATTAAAACCATATACACAACCGAGCACATTATCTTAAAATTAAATTACACAATTGATTACACGTCAAAAAATTCTTTTCTAGAAATACGTTCCTTTCAAAACCTAAACAAGTGATTATAAAAAGGAAGGTTTTTAAATAAACACTTTATGTTTTTCGATACGATTACAAGTAATATTTTAATTCAATTTAATTATTATATTACCCTAACAGTTCTTGAAACTCTGAGCGAATTGAACAAAAGTGCATCAAATAAAACTAAATATTCTGAAATATCTCATCATTTTATGAATATAATTCCTGCTCTGAGCAATTTAGGGAAACATATACTTGAATTATTTAGGAATCCTAGCAAAAAATGGGAACTATCAACGTTAATCGAAATGTGTCAGACAAGTTTTATAGGTACAAGATGCCTTCATTGATAGCAAAGGTACCATAAATCAATTTTTATTAAAAATTACTAAATAATAGGTTGAGGGTAAGGGAAATGGAATAAAAACAGTTATTGTAAATATGACAGAAATTGCAAGATGCTTGTCAAGACCTCCTACATGTAATAAAGAATTAATAAATAATTAAATATTATTTTTAGACTTGACCAAATTTTTTGGATGTGAATTTGGAGCACAAACAAAGTGTGATAACAAAAATGATAGATTTATTGTAAATGGTTCACATGAAGGAGTTAAATTGCAAGAAGCACTTGATATATTTATAAAAAAATTTGTGCTATGTACAGAATGCAACAATCCTGAAACAGAATTGGTATAATCTTTTTAAAATTTATTTGATCATTTATATACACTTGATAACAACTGAAATATTTTTGTATTTATGGTATATTAATAATTTTATCTATTTTCTATAAATCTTGTTAAACAAAATATGTTTTGTATATAATTTTAATCACTTAATAAAATAACTTTTAATTAAAAGCACATAAGTGCCAAAAAACAGTCCATCACTATATCTTGTAAGGCCTGTGGTTATGTTGGTAACATTGATCCCAATCACAAACTAAGTGCCTTCATTCTTAAAAATCCTATTGAAGATGTCTCACAGGAAGATGGTTAAATTGATATCTTTAAATTTATTAAATAATAATATAATGTTATAGGTAAAAAGTCTAAAAATGGAAAGAAAGGAAAGAAAATTGATTCCACCGAAACTCAAAAAAATGGACAGGGAGCCAAAGAAAATGTAAGATTTGAAATATTTTTATAAATTAAAACATTTCACAATGGAGACCTAAGTAAATGTAGTTTTACCAAACAAATATTAATTTTTATTTTTAATGTAATGATGAGTTCAAATTTAATTAGTTACAAAATGTATAAAATAAAAATTCAATGCTATATCTTATTATCTCAAATTTAAATTCCTGCACTTTTACATTAATGAATATTTTTTTATCATTATCTTTTTCAGAATGAGGTAGTACCTTCTATGGAAGAGGTTATCCCCAATTTTGGAGGATTAGTTCTAACTGAAGCAGAAAATTGCAAAAATACTAACAAAGCTTTGAATTCAAATGAACTGACAGAGTTGAACCAGCCCTTTGAAGATGACTGGAATGAAGACGGAGTGGAAGCAAGAGCTGGGGATAATTGCTCTAACAGTCAGCAGGATAGAATTGATAAATTTTATCACTTTATCAGGGTAACAAAAAGTTATCTCATTTTATTAAAACTAGATTTAATAAACTAATTGTGAAGATTGAGAAGCAATTTTAATTTATTGTATTAAACTCTGGATAGGTCTCAGAAATTTATTTTTCAAAAAATAAGTGTAAATACTTTGAAGGTCAGAATGATTGACTAAAGTTAGCCTTGAGCCATTTGTAAAATAAGATTAAAATAATGAAATTTGCCATGTTTATTTTGAGACTCGCCAATATTTGGTATCATGATTTATCAATGTTAACTCAACCAGTTGGCCCTACCCAAAGATGATAATTAATTCATAAATAAATTAATCATGCACCTTATTAAATTTATATTAAAAAAATTGCACCTATTTCTGAACCAATAAGAAGTAAAGAAAAGATGTCAATAATTTTTTGTACTATATTTATTAATTTTATAAATTTCATTAAATTAATTGTAAAATCTTTTTTTTTAAATTTATTTTTAAAATACATTATAAATTCTATAAAAAAAATTGTTTTTGGTATTTTTTTAGTCAGAGTTAGGTTTCCAGAAAACAATAAATATTTGTATATTTTGAGTCAAACATATTATTTGTGTTTTTTTTAACTAAATTATGTGGATATTTTAGTTAAAATCATTTTGCATACTTCATGATTGACTATTTTTTATAGCTAATTCTTTTGGGCTTGAAGCTTTCCTAATTGTTTCTTTAAGACAATTGAATTTTTGTAAACATATATATGTTGATAAAAGGTTGAAACTCACCCTTATTACTTCATTTCATTCTTTTTGCATAATTTTCTCATTATTGTTGTTGTTACAAATTACCAGAGTTGTTAAAGGATCTAGATACAAGTAACTAGATCCTGTATCTAGATTTAAAAATGTGGTATTTGTATCTAGATATTGTTTTAGACGATGTATCTATATCTAGATCCATTTAAAAAGTATCCTTTAACAACTCTGCAAATTACATTCTTATAAAGGTTATTATTTACATTTTTAAGAAAGTAACTGTTATAATTAAAATATAACTAATTACAAGTTCAGTTTTTTGCAAAAAATCTATTGTTATTATTTTGAAAACACTAAAATTATTTAATTTAGGAAATTTTAAACAAAAAATCAGGTGCCAGAAAATTTTAAATTATACCCTAGTTTTGGATATCAATAAAAAAAATGGCCTAGATCAGATCACTAAATGAGAATTATTGTGGTTTCTTTTACAAGTCGTAATCATTCATAATTTTTATTTGGGATAAAATATTAAGGACTTGAAATCCTCTGGCGATTTGGATAATCCAGGTGTGGACAAAAAGATTTTGGCGGAGGCGGAAAATTTAGAAATAAAGGACAAGGCTCCCATGATATTGGCTGAATTATTGTTGGATCAAAATTCCCTAACTCAAATACCCAAATATCGCTTGATCTTTTTGCGGGTAATAATTTCCTTTATCTACACTTATCATTTCAGATTTATCTCATAATAACACAATTTAATATAATGAAACAAATTATAAAATATGTTTAAATTATATTTTCCTTTGTATTAGCAATAAAAGAAAACAACGTTAACTTTTTCCTTCAGGAAGTCAATTTTTTATTCTTAGGTTTATCATTTTTTCACTGATCTTTTTGAAATACCTGAATTTGGCCTGATAAAAAATCTCATTTAGAATACATTCCTTTTTTGCACACTAATTTTTAATACCGATTATTTTTTCAATTACAAAAAAAAATGTTTTTCTTAGTTTTGTCATGAATGCCCTAAAGCTCAAAAATACTTGCTCGGCGCCTTTGAACAACTAGTGGGCAAGGAGTACAGATCTGAATTGATGACCAAAGTTCCTCATCTACTTAAAGCATTTTACGATGCCGATCTGCTCGAAGAAGCCGTTATTGTTGAATGGGAAAATAAGGTTAAGTAGATTTTATAATTAAATCCTTGCTTTTGCACCATTAAACTATTTTTTGCTTGACTTAAACGACTATTTATCGAGGCAGGATTAAAGGAGGTGTTTATTGTTATCAACACTTAACTCTGGTTTCATATCGTAGAAATTTATTTAAAAATATACGATTTTTATATAATAAGTATCCACCTTGATATAAGAACGCCTCTAGATATAGATGAACCAAAAAATGGGCCCACTTCATGTTAATAAGGAGTTAAAAAAGTCTTGATTTAACTGGAATATTTTGCTAGACTAAACATTCGAGGGTTGGATAAATAAGCTTGGTACTATTTATTTCTTTTGCCATAAAATTTTTTTCATTCGCAGGTCTCCAAAAAATATGTGGACAAAGAAATAGCAACCGAGATTCGCAAAAGGGCTGCCCCTTTTGTCAAATGGCTAAAGGAAGCCGAGAGTGAGGAAAGTTCTGGTACCGAAAGTGAAGATGCTAAGGATTTCAGTGATTCGGAGGAGAATGAGAAAGAAGAAGAATCACATTTAAGGGAAAAGCACGTTAAACGGGGTGCATTACTCTCCAATAATACCAAAACTTCTAACCATGATAAAGTAAACTTTTTTAGATGCCATGTGTATATAATACAAATATTTATTTTTTTTTAATGGTGTGCACAAATTGAGCGTTTTAAAGGATACATTGCCAAAACGTAAATAACCAATTTCAAATAATACTATAATACCTAATAGTGAGCACAAATTTACAGTTTAAATGATACATTGCAAAAACGCAAATAATGAATTTCATGTGGTATTGAGCAAGTTGGTCAAATTACCGTTTGGCTTTATAAAACCATTTTGGAAAAAACGTTAACTAGTTTGCTTTTCTCATTCCATTTCACACATGGATTTTTTACAAGGAAGCTAACAAAGCCTTGATACCTAGAAAAGAATAAGGTGGGTGGAGGGCGAAAAATCTGGTGTAATTATATATATACTTTAATAATAAATTATGAAAAATTGTCTTTTAAAAGTATAATGTTCCAAATGAAATAAAATTTAAGAAACAATTCCTCTTTAAACATTTCGTTGAAATTCAACAAGTTGTAAAATAAAAAGGCAACCCCAATTTAAACCAAAGATCTGCACAGATAACGTTGTTAAAACCCCGATTTGGTTCGTTTTTTTTAAACGGTCACGATTAAGATTTTAGCCAAAATAATAATGTAAGTCTCGAGATTTTGCTCATAGATGGCAGAAAGGTTTCGACCTCTTGCCAAATCTCGAGGCTTACAAATTATTTTGGTTAAAATCTTAATCGGGGTTTTTATCAATACTACCTGCAGAGGTACCAATTGCATGGCCTAACTCGGATTTGTAAGAAAGGGTTTGTAAAAATTTTCCGATAAAATGGTTTTGAAACGATATAGGAAATATGAGAAGTTTTTAAATATATTTTATTACATCCATTTATTTTATATATATAATCCCAATGTAACATTCACTCTGGCATGGCTTTTATAGCTAAAACAAATTTAGGTCCGCCCCCGATATTTTAAAAAATTTGGCCCTTCTCTTGTATCCAGAGAGAGCTTAAGGCCGGGCATGCTGAACTCTTAGGTTTTTTTTATTAAAGAAGTACAGCGAAATGCAAACGCTCAATTTATGTGCACTATAAGAGTATTTAACAAGAGTCTATACTATTAAATGTTGAAAAATATGAATAATGAAGATAAATTTTATGCTAAAATGTGTAATGTTTTACTCTAGTATTTACAAAACAGAAATTTGTTTATATTTTGAGCCTTAAAATCTTCAAAGATTTCATATTTGTAAATCTTTAACTTTAAGATCCTTAATTTTATGATCTTTAATAAGTTTTTATTCAAAATTTTAAGTAATAAACCTTTGAAATTTTTTACCTTACTAAATTTTTAGGGTCACGATAGTGATATAGACATAGACGCCATATGAAACGGGAAAAAATGCGAGTATTGAATTTTGCTCCTAAATTTTTACTGTAATTTATTTTTAAATACGTTTTTTTTAAATATACAAACTTATATACATTTATATATAATATAATTATTATTGAATACAAGAATTCCAAATTATAATTTTGATAAATATTGCAATTTATACTTCATAATAAAATTCAAGCTACATTCTCCGTGTTTATTGTGTTTTATTAGAATTGGCTGATTTAGTCTATGTTCTTAAATTATATTTTATTTTACTATATTGCTAAAAGTTTTTATTAATTGCTACATTATATCTTTTTTTCTTGTTAATGGCAATTTTTAGGTTTATTTGGTAAGGTAGTTTTCTCTGATATTTTTTTGGTATAATCAACTCATAAAAGTTACCTTAATATTATCAAAAATTAAGTATGTAAAATATCAATAATTATTTTTTTCTCCAAACTTGGGAATTTTTTAAAGCTTCTAAAACAATAAGAATAATGGCTTTTTCAAATGAACAGTGAATTTCTCTGTTTTTGACAAAGATTGCAGAGTGAAACCCTTCATGGGAATATAACTAAAAGATAGTCTTCCCTTATTTTAACTCATTACAATTAAATTATTTAAAAAAATTTTAAATAAAAATAAAGTAAATTAATTTCAAATGCAGTTATAAATTTTTAAGTCAAATATTTATTATTATCAATAAATAAACATTAAATATTGAAAATTTAATAAAAACATAGATGTTAACTAAAATAAAGTAAATACATGTTGGATTAATTTGTCATGGGAGTTATTTTATTTTGGGCCATTTTATGTTATAAAATTTGATCTTAAAAAATGTATACAATTCAAATAAATCGTTTTTATTTTCAAAAATCATGGTTTTTTGCCAACCCTATGTGTTTTATGAGTTTGTAAAAAATTGATTTATTTTAGAATAATATATAACAATTTTTAAAGATGAAGTAATCCCATTTTACCCAGTTGTGGTAACATCTTAATTTTTTTTAATTATCTGGCCAATTCTGGTACTGGATTTTATTAAAAAATATTTATACATAAAATATCAACTTAAATTCATATATTGAATCTGCACAAGATCTGCCGGCTTAGACCTCCAGAATTAAATAATAAAATTGAATTCCTTGTTATTTCGAAAGTGTTTTTATCAGACAATTTTTCAAAAATTTTTGCTACAAATGCTCAAAATATTTAAAGCAAGACTTCGCCCCTTTCGCAAAAAGGGGTTTAGGGTTATTCTCAAACTGTTTATCCGGAGAGGGGCCTCTACTTACAATTTTATCCATAGCCAAAAATAATAATTGATCTAATAAATTTAAAAAATAATCCATTCTAAATCGACTGAATTTACTGATGTTTTTTTCATATTTCTTTTTACTTTTGTAAATTAATTATTTTACGATTTTGCCGAAATATAATGTTTATCCAAAAATCTTATAATTAAGAAAATCAGATGGTGCCTATTTCTAAATTAAAATTAGATCAGCTCTAACTTTTAATAAAAATTCTGGGAATGGTGGACTAAAATTTCCTTAAATAGAACCATTGATCATAATCGATCTTCAAACAGGACCAGTGACCCCTACACTTTTTGAGGGATAGAAGCAGAATACCCCCCTAAAGTACCCCCCCCCCCATTGTAAATTATTTTTTGACACCAATAAATTTCAATATTTATTATAATATAAATATAATGTAAAAAATATATGCTTTAAAACAGAGTTGTACAAAATGAGCGAGATCTAGCTCAAAAATTTGAGCAAGATCTTTGAAGATCGTAAAATTTGAAGATCTTTTATTTTTTAAAAATTTTGTGTAAAGATCTTCATGATATTTATTTTTTTACCCTTTTATTAAAAGCCCAGATGTTTTTCAATTTTCATCAAGGCAGGAGGAGAGGTATAAAACATTAAAGAAATATTATGTTAATAAAATTGAAAAACATCTGGGCTTTTAATAAAGGGGTAAAAAAATAAATATCATGAAGATCGTTACACAAATTTTTTAAAAAATATAGATCTTTGAAGATCTTTTTATTTTGAGCAAATGTACAACTCTGCTTTAAAAATATTATTTTTAAATTAATAATTTAGATAAATTAGGGGAAGAGAAAGCAAAAGAATTTATAATTTCATCAATATTTAATTGTTTAAATAAATTATTTTCAATTGATAAAATGGTTAAATTATTAAGAAATGGATCTTTCATGACACTACGAAGTCTTGTTTTAATTAGTTTAATTTTACTCATGACCCTTTCGGCAGTACATGATGTAGTAGGAATAGTTAATAAATATTTATATAAAATTGTTAAATTTGGGAAAGCAGAAAAATTTATAAGCAGACGATAAGGTAAAATAAATGAATAGTTTCTCCAGTCTGAATCATTCATCTCAGAATTATTATCATCATCAGAAGAAGCTAAATAATGTATTAGTAAAAATATTTTAATTAAATAAATTTACAATTCTCAGAATCTGACAAATCTTCTTTAACCTCTACGTCACGAGTAATAATTACGTCCCCCGTTTTAGCCATTTTATAAATATTTCTAAACATCAACATTTCCTCAAAAACTTGACTTGTATTTAATTGATAAAATTCACAGATATCCTTGATATCATCTTTAACAATTGCATTTTCCGCCATTCCCTTTGGTGTAAAAAATGATGTTTGGCTCAAAAATTTTATCGATTCATCGTTAAATCTTTCACTAAACTGCATAATAATTAAATCAAGTGCAGCATAAAACACACTGATTTTAAAGTTAAAATAAAATATTATATTTAATGATGAAAGTATATATATACCTCTCCTTTTTGGAATGTAATGTTTGAAGTCTTGAACTTTCAAAATCAAAAGGTAAATTTCTCTTCTTCATAAAATCTTGGGCCTTTGAAAAGACATCCAAAAATTCAGTGTTATTATCTATTTTAGGATTATAAAATAATAAAAGATAATAATTTAAATTATACTTATCATATTAATCAGGCAATCTTTTGCCAATTGAATTTGATTTATTGCAAACCCTATATCCTTCGAAATGGTTTGCAATTTTGTACAAGCCAAGCTTGTTATCAACAATATTTTATCCAAAACACATAGTGATAAAATAAAATAAAATTTTTCTATTCTATAGACTATAGCACTAGCCATAGTGGAAGTGGCAGGATCTTCAGAATCCTTTAAATTTGCCAAAGCTGCCCTCAAAGCATCATAAAGTAGGAAAAAATTTACAATCGCCTTATAGGATGTTAGCCAGATTCTATAAATATAAAATAAACATTATATATTGAAATAATTAAGATAATATTACCGAGTGGTATTCTTGATGCGTAAAAATCTATGTGATTTTGTCAGTAAATCACTCTGACATGTTTTGAGCACTTCATATCTTTTAACACCATTAAAATATACGTAAATTTCGTCTAATATTTCTAAGACATTTCGCAGCTCTTTTACTGATTGGCATAATTGAACAACTATTAAATTTAATCGATGACAATAGCACCAAATAAAAGCTGCCTTTGGCGCCTCCACTCTAATCAAAGCCTGCACTCCATTAATTCTTCCACTCATGTTTGAGGCGCCATCATAGCTTTGCCCCACTAGGAATTCGAGGGGTAGATTCATGGAGCCAAGCTTGGATATTATATTCTTTTTAATATCGAGGCCCGTTGTATTTCCCGTACAATAAATGTCTATCAGCCTTTCAACGGGCTTAGGTGTCTCGCTATTTTCAACATATCTCACTATCAAAGCTATTGCTTCTGATTTCGATACATCATATGTGCCATCAACTATAATTGAATTGCACCTGTTGAATACAATCTCCTTTTGAATTTTTTTTATAACCATATTTTTCATGGTTTCAATAAGAATATTTATGTTATTATATGATAACAGATTTGAATATAATTTAGATTTTAATCCCTTAATTTTTTTCTCATTCTTCTTTCTTCATTATCTTGTATATACATTTTAAGAACAGGCTCAGAATTTGCAATAAGTTTAATAAGGCTCATCATATTGCCATTTTGTTGCCTATTCCCCCAGAAGGCTTGATTGCGAGATAAGCATTTATATATTTTTTGGTTAATATTTTTGGGCATATTTTGACAATGATCTAAAAATTATAAATGATTATATATAAGATTTAATATTTAAATTTTTACTATTCACTTTGATAAAATTTTAATTTTGCGTCAAATCTTGAAAGTGGGAAAATAATTTTATGATAAGAAATATCGGATAACAAACTAATTTGCTAAACATCAACCAAAAGTACCCCCATAAAAATTTATAGAAGCAGTTGTTTCGGACCCCCCCCCCCACCGTAGTAGGGGTCACTGAACAGGACAACAACAGAATCAACCACTACTCAGTTGTTAAAAATTTTAAAAATGGCACTTTGCCCAACTTAAAGGAATGCAATCTTTCTCCCATTTTGACAAATATTTAGTGCTATAACTGCTCCTACGTATTCATCAAAAGGAATGTCAAAAAATAAAATTACTGGAAATTGGGTTATTAGCAAAGTAAAAATCATAAATTTTTAAGGATTAACTAAACATAATTTAATAAGTTATATAAACACTAATATAGGTAAATTAATATTGTAGATCAAAAGATCGATCAATAGTAAAAAACTCACCGACTTTCATTTTTAAAGAATCTCTAGTCTAGGCAAATTAGAATAGAATCCGGGATCCTCTATTCTTAGATCGCAATCTTTTAACAACTTGGGTAATACGCATATATAATTGTGACCCGACGAAATTATCAGCGAACTGCGCGTGTTTTAGGAATCGTCGCTTTTTTAGCCGCCATCCGATATAAATTTTTATAATATATTTTTTAAATTGCAATTGAATTTATTTAAGAAAAAAATAAAATATACACTATAGATATATCAGCATGAGAATCATTTATTTTTTTTAAGAAAAATTATTTCATTTTGGACTTACTCTTAGCTAAAAAAATGAATATTATTTTTATATAATGTTAAAAAATTTATATTTTCAATCATTTTTACTATTCGGACAAATATATTCGAGGGAAGCAAATTTAATATTGCTTATTATTTAAAATAAATAAAAGAAAAAAAATCAATCTCATACTTAATGTTTGATGTAATATTTTATTACGATTAAAAATATAACC